TGGCCGCTCACGCTGGCTGCTGGCTACACACGGTAGCCCATGGCAACCCACTGCCACAGGGGCTGCAGCCTACACCGTGGCCAGCGACTCAGGGCAGCCCAGCTCCAGGTCGAGCTGTTATTCAGCATATTAGCTGTAGAGGGCAGTGTCACTGGCCCTCATATGTGGGATCCGAACTGGGGTCCTCTGGCGTCCCAAGCCAGCTCTTAACCAATGCGCCACTCGGCTGGCCCTGGACTAATTTTTAGATAAAACATTGGTTATAGTAAAATCTTTACGTGTCAATATTTGTTAAAAGTCTATCAGATAACAGTTACCCATCTATGTTTCTGCTCAAATAACAGTGTATTCTAAAGACTAGGCACTCAATAAATATTTGAAGTCGTGTTTTAGTATTTCAGGATTGTAGTCCTGGGTGTCTGTGTTCTCTATATACTGAATGTAGACAAGGTAGGAAGTTGATACAAATCGTTGCTTGCAAGTTTTCTTTGTGAGGAGTAAGGGACTTCAATGAATTGGATGACAAAATCAAAAAATTTATCCAAGGTTTCTGGTTAATTGTCATGTTACTGACTTCTGCCTTCATAGAACATTAGATCTAGAACCTCCCCCAGATAGTTCTATCTCTTCTCTTCCATTTTCCATTTGGATGTCAGAGGCAAAAGATTAAATCTAGTCCCTGAGAAACTGTAATTTATTAACAAAAACAAACAAAAAAAATCCCTGTCATCCCCAGATAGTTTAAAGAACAATACAGAACTAGCTTGAGTACATTCTGAAATGATGCAGGGAAGGAAACTAGTCCTTTAATCACTGTGTAATACCATACAAAAGTTCAAAGGAGCCCATATCTTCAGGATGTTGATACCATGGATGAATTGGCCTCTCATTAGTTATGGTTAGGATTGGTATATATCACTTACTCAGCAAATGAGTATTTCAGTGATGTTCAACATGTGTCCATTGACTGCCAGCATCAGAATCACTTAGTGCTATTAAAATGCAGATTTCTAAGTTTCATCCTACTCTTGTTGACTCCACATATGTCAGGAGGGAGCTCAGGAGACCACATTTCAAATAAACTCCCCATGTGATTCTTGTTCAAACTAAAGGTTGAGAGTCACTGATTTATTAAGTATCTTCTGGGTTCATTACACTTAATTCACTCTTGCCTAGTACTCCTGAAATTTGAGATTTAATCAATGCCCTTGACTAAATTTAATGTTAAAATGGATATTGGTAAATTGCGAAGGGCCATAGTTTGTTTTTAATCTATTCATTGGCTAATCTGGAATCCCATAATGCTAGTGTGGCAAAAAATTTAACAAATGTTATTAAGACCTTTCACAGAGACCTGAGAGTCCTACCCAGAGCAAAACATTCAGAAAGGATCCTTTCTGAGGATCCAGGGTGTTTTGTTTTGTTTTTACCACTGGTTTCTGTGAGGATGGTACTGGTCAAATCTTCATGGTCCCTTGACATTGGCAACCATCTATTCATACATCACACTTGGGACACAGGAACCTTCCAACCCTGGAGTCCAGTGCCATGAGACCCTGCTCACTGGTACACCACATAGCAATTTCCAGGGAAGGCCCCGCTTCCTCCCCAGGTACTACTAGGGAGCTGGATGTGTAACTTCTATAATCCAAGGTAGCCATGATCCACTGCCTCTCCCTGGCCTGGTACAGTGTCCCTCTTTGTGATGGTCTCTCTCACCGTTCTCCAAGGCAATCACTGCTCTCTCTCCCACCTCTCCAGGAAACTCAACATAATCTCCAAAGTGAGCTCAGGTTTTCATGAGACAGAAGATAGAGATAATTATCAACAAGTAGCTACTATTTTCTGCCAGCCATGAAAAAGCTAGAACAAGAACTACAAAGGCCTGGCTACCTTTGGGGAAAATGATCAAGAAAACAAAAACTTAATATCTCAGTAAGTTATCCTTCTACACTGAGTCCTAAGGCAAGTCAACATTTCTGAACCTCATTTTTCTCATCGATAAAAGTAGAGATGATTATTATCCTACCAATTTCTTAAAATTATTGTGTGAATTAAAAAGCCACTGTCTAGCAGATAATAAGAGTTCACTAAATGTTGATTGAATCATTAACAATGTATGTGAAAGCAGATGACAGTACCTGACACATGACTGAGGTCTAAATGTTTTTTAATTTGAACCTGTAGAATTTATAAGATTTAATATTAATATTATTACATAATATTATGGTTCTGGGATTTTGTGTTTTCCAGCATATCAAGATGGCAACATACACACATGGTCAGCCCAGTCCTTCTCCAGGAGATGCAAAACTCGAAAGACCAATGGTCATTGAAATCATCGAAAAAAAAATTGAATATCTTAGAAAAGAAAAGTAAGAGACACATCCAGACTGAAAATCTTAAAAAAAAACAACTACTACTTTATTTGCAAATCTTCTGTATTATCATTGTTTCTGGGTATCTAAAATCCTCTATTAACTTTATTGAGTTGGTTATAAAGAAAGTTTATTTTAAAAAAGAACTGGAGGGAAACATGAACAGATGAAAATAGTGTCTTTTTGGGAAATTGGGAACTGTGGATAATTTCTTTTGTTTCTTAAAAAATGTCCAAAATTATTACTGAAATATTTCTGAAATATAAAAAAAGTGCAATAAACTTTTTTAAATTAAAAGTAATTAGGAGAATACCATTTTGGAGGCTACTTATATTTAATTCATTATCATTTGTAATTAAATTCAGTTTGGAATTGATTACATCAGCCACAGTGCTGAGTTTAACAAAAAGGAATACAAAATCCATGATGTACATATGGTTTCATATTACCATTTTGACTTTCAGATTATTAGAGCTCAAAAAATAAAAATCAAAACATGTGGCTCTTAAACCTTAGGCATTTCTGGATTTAGGTATCAATCAGAATAAGTAAAACAGGATCTAGCAAATTTCTTTGGATGAAGTTTTGGAAATCCTTGAGAAATTATTTTAAATATATCTGGACTATTTAAGAAATAGTTATTTTCTAGAAGGCCTAACCAAAAGTAAACAACTTTTTTCAAATGATCTTAAGCAAATTAATTTTTTTAGTAGCAAGAACAGTACTCTTGGATTTAGACAGCTCATAAATTTGGCTATGTTGCAAAATATTCGTATATATTTGTGGCCCAAATTTATTCTCTAAAAGAACTCCATTTTAGAACCAATCTAAATGTTCTCAGAAAGAGAATTATATCCTTTGATTAGATTATAAGTTCATGAGGAGTGGGATTTTTTTTTTCTTTATTCACTGCCTCATCCTCAGCGTGTAGAAAACATCTAGCACATAGTAAGAGCTCAAGACATATTTGATGTTGAGTAAATATGTAATAACTAATGACTATCCAGGAAAGGATATATCCATTAAGAAAATGTTATGTTGAACTTAATTTTTCTCTGTTTTTCCTATTAGGGCTTTAAATATATATGGAACAGTAGGCTTTGGAACAACAGCTAGTTTCTCTGGAGTGCTGGCAAACTTCATTTTCAGACATTGCTTCAAGGTTAAACATGATGCTCTGAAGACATATGCATCATTGACTACACTTCCATTTTTGTCTACTGTAGTTGCTTATAAGCTCTTTGTAACAGATGCTTTGTATTCAGGTAAATTTAAATTCATTAAAGTATGTGTTTATGTCTATGTAAAATTACCCATTAGCATATACTGCTGCTACTGCTCATAATAATCCCTTACATTTGTGTACTGCTTTACTGCTTACAATGTACTTTCACATAGATTGTCCTGTTTCATCCCCACAACAGTCCTTACAAGGCAGGGCAAGTAGTATTGGGTCTTTTTACAGACAAGCAACAAAAGCAGAGACATGTTCCAATCTAAGAAGCAACATAATGCACTAAGGGAAAAGCAGGCTTTGGCCTACTACACACATGATTTCAGATCCTACCTCCTACCATTTCAGTTTTGTGAAATTAGGCAAGTTACTTGAGACTCAGCTGTCTTATCTATGAATTAGGACTACTAGTACCTAACTCACAGGATTGTTGTGAGTTAAGGATAACGTATATTAAATGCTTAACATAGTACCTGGCATATTATGGGCTTCTAATTATTTCCTGCCTCCTCCCCTTGCCTTAAGTTTCACAACTAGTAATTGATGGAACCCTGTTCCTCAGGTCCCTGATTAAATATCCTTTCCCAAGGGAAACCTTCTCTGAGGCTTCTCTCGGGGTACATTAGGTTTCTAGATACATTCCTTTCATTTTAACTTCAAAGCATTGTGCATGCTTAAATTATTTATTTAAATATTTGTCCAATGTCTTTCTTTCCGGGTAGACTGGCCTGAAGGTCAAGAATTGGGTCTCTTTTGTGCAACACCGGATCCCTAGCACCTGGCACATGCCTGACACAGAGACAATAAAAGTGTGTTAACCTAGAATCCATATGTCTGCTCTGCTAGTTTAATATTCTTTTTCTATGAAGTTGCTTCTGTAACAACCACATATGTGAGACATAACTCTCCTTACATAAAGTATAATAAAAGCATTTTTCAGATTGGTGCATAGACCGAATTTCTAATATTCTTTCTACCATTTCACTATGGTTGAGGACAATATATTGGGTTGTCGGGAAAGTCATGACGTATTTTTCTATGTTTTTCAATGCAAAAATGCGTCATGACTTTCCCGATGACCCAATGGATAACTACTCTATGAGGGCACAAGACTTTCTTAATGTTTATCCAGAGTTTTACAGGGAGACCAGATTTACTTTTGTTTTCCAGGTAATATAAGCAAGGAAAATTGTGTTCTGAGAAGTTCACTGACTGGCATAGTATGTGGTGTTCTATATCCCAGTGCTTTGGCTTTTATTAAAAATGGACGTCTGGCAGTCAAGTAAGTCTATCTATTCGTTTCCTTCCTGCCTGCCTTCTTTCCTTTCTTCCTTCCTTTATTTTTTTTAATATTAGTAAACTCTCCTTATTCTTTAGCTGATGATGACACATTTTAATCAAAATATAGTAGTTTGGTATTAAAAATAGCTAACTTTTAACCTTTTTGCTAGCTTCATGAAAGAGCTAGAATAGAAATTATTAGTTTAAGAGAAAAAATTAATTTTTCATAGAATATGCATCCAAGAGAAGTGTTTGACTCTTTTTTCTTTTTAGGTATCATACTGTTCCACTGCCGCCAAAAGGAAGGGTTTTACATTATTGGGTGATGCTTTGTCAAACAGAGATAAAAGCAATGGTGCTTCCTCTAGTCTTTCAGACAGTCGTTGGAGTATTTAATGGCCTACAACATTATGCAGTATTTGAAAGTACACTAGAGGAAACTGTACATGAAGATTAACCAAAGAATGAATGGATATGAAATCAGCAGAATGGACTTTTTTATGAGGACTCAGGCATTGCTGAAGGAGTTAAAACTAACTCTGGACCCTTTTTTCTGTTCCTTTTGCCTAGTATATAGCAGGTACTCAATAAATATTCAGTAATTCAATAAATAAATGTAAGTTTTGTCTTTCTCTCCTCATCGTATGTGGAAATGGGTTTGAGGCCTGAAGTTCTGACTTATACATTATATATTCATTCATTCATCAAACATTAATTAAGCACCTGCTACGTCTCAGGCACTGTGTTACATGCCATAAGAAATGGTCCTTACCCAGAAGGAACTCACAATTAGAAGAGAAATTTAAAATGGGAACACATAGCATGAGAGGGTTTGAGAGGGATACACATAATTCTGTGGGCACATTGAGGGTGTGCCTGTCAGCTACCTGGACAGAAGAGAAAGCTAAGTGACATTTGGCCCAAATTTTGAAGGAGTTAGAAGTTCATAAGAAAGCAAAATATAGAAATAGCGTACATCCCATTTCTTTACTCTAAACTGATTCACTATACTTAGTTGCTTCTCATTAACAAATTATTTTCACTATGCTTTTTAAAGAACATGTATTGAGTGCCTAATTGCTATGCTTTCATATAGGTATCCAGGGACAAAGATTCAGTCCCTGCCATCAACAAGCTTAAAATCCAAAGAAACAGATCACAGCATGCATTTTTATGTCTGCTAGAGCATTCCTGAGCTACATATTTATCTTGGTTCAGGAAATGAAGACTATCTGAGGAAAAGAATATGACACAACATGGAACCCCACAGCTCGTTCTCCTTGTCTTAACCATATTCATATTGAGATTAAAATTTCATCATCTGAGGCCCCAAGCAACCCAAAGCAGACATGGAAGTCTTAACAAGGTGCTTTATGGCATCATGTATAACAAATTGAAATACATTCACTCTTGCTAATGGAAAAAAAAGTGGCTAGTGAGCCATCCAGCTTTGTATTCTCAGAATAAGTCATGATACTTGAAACTCTACAAAAAGGGAAAGTTATGCAGGGTGGGGTGTGTGTGAATCAAGTCAAATAGATAACTAGATCAACCGTGTTCATATTTTAACTCTTTAAAGAAATTATATGAGTACATGAATACTTTTCTCACTGTGAGACATTTAAGTGATCCAAAGTGTGTGTGTGTGTACACATTTGCTATATAGAGCAAGACTCGAAAATTCTCCCTTCACACCCATTCCATCCTATTTCTACTCCATTCTCCAGAGATAACCATTAGCAAGTTTGCATGCCTCTTGTCCTTGCAGTATTCTTTGGTAACTTAACATATTTTTTAAATAAATGGTATTATCCACACATATTAAGTTGGAAATTAACTTTCACTTCATTCTCTATGTCTTAAGAGATCTTTCCAACTCATTACATATAGGTCTAACACGTTCTTTTTAGTGACAATAACATTCTTGATAAATCCAGTATTCACAGAGGTGATCTTGACACCACCCTGGTCTCTCACCCTACCCCTTATTCCCCTGGTCATATTCTAGACCTGTGCTGTCCAATATAATAGTCACCAGCCACTTGTGGCTCCCGAACACTTGAAATGTGAATAGTCTGAATTGAAATGTGTCATGATTGTAAAATACACATCAAGTTTTGAAGATTTACTATGTACAAAAGGATGTAAACTATCTCATAAATAATCTATTGATTACATGTTGAAATGTTACTCTTTGGATATATTGGCTTAAATAAATTACATTAATTTCTTTTTTTTAATGGGGCTACAAGGCAATTTAAAATTACCTATGTGACTCATTTTTATTGTATCATGTTGCTCTAGACTTTGTCATTATCAATAAATTCAAATTCTACACATTCTCAATTTTAAAATCCTATTTTCTGATCACTGCCTCGTGTACTTCCGGTTCATTTCATTTTCACACCACAACTCCAGCACTGCTTCAGCCTCACCGGAACCTATAACTCATCAACCTCACTACCTTTTCACTGTCCCTCAGCCCCTCACATTTTTATTCTCCAGCTTCAGCTTCAGCCACGTCAATCTTTTTAAAGCCTGCCAATCTCAAGGCAAAAGAAAAAAACCAAAAATGAATCTAGCTAAAGTTGATTTTTAAATAAAGATATTGGCACCTTGTGTTTTGTTTTTGTGAATTTTCTGTTCATGTCTTTGGTCCATTTGCTTTGTAGAAGCTGTGAGCAGCCGTCCAATGGCCGGCCAGCGACTGCCTCACCCAGGAAGAGCACAATGATAATACCAACATGGGCCAGTGAAGCGACATCCTCTACAACTAGACTGAAGAACAAAAGGACAGCAACTTGTCTGTTCTCCTTCCCTGATTCCCCAACGCTATTCCCCTCCCCCAATTCCCCAATAAAATCTTCCAAAAAAATTTAAAAATTAAAAAAGTAAATCCAGCTTCAAGAATAACAGCAGATGGAGCTTTGTTGCATCCTTTTTTTTAAAGATATGAATTTATGATTATTGTTATTCATTTAATGTTTGCTGTTTACATTGTGAGATGGGGTGAAAGAGTTCTTTGTATAGTCATAAGTTCTTGATTAGATTCCAGGCCAGGATTAATTATTTATTTTAAAATTTTGTTATTTTCTCTCTTGGCAGATTCTAAAATATGGATTAAGATTAATTAAAATGCCTGGAATAGTTCTTTGGACTAACAATATGATTTTTGAGTCAGATCTGCCCAAGGAAAATCAGCTCTTTAGTTTCCCTAATTACTTGTCACTGCCATACGCAGAAAAATGAGCAGTTTTAGCCACATACATAGGAGTTCAAGGTGCAAGTCTTAAAGTTAATGGATGTTTTAGGAATTAAATGAGTCAAAAAGCTTACTTTATTGGTTCCTTCGAACAATGAGCTATGTGTGCTTTTGGAAGACTCAACCTGGTGCTGGTGTTCTAACCATTCTGTAGGCTAAAAAAATAAGTTCCTCTTCTAGAGGCATACATTATGCCTTTTATGAGAAAATGTTTGGGGGATATCATTTAAAATTTAATTTATCCATTTTAAGGTATTTTGTAAGAGCATTTCTTATGTGAATTGCCATATTTTTCTTAATGGATTCTCTCTTGATTTTTCTGCCCTCTCTACCCACACCTTGCACATTCTCCTTGGAAATTATATGCTGCTTTCCACAAAGTTTCTGGGTGCTTAGTTAAATATTGCATATGTTTACAGTTGCAAACTTAAAATAATGCATTCACTGGTTGATAAAGGGAAGCCACAGGACCAAGGTGAAGGTTAATTGTCCAACTTTTTTTCTTTTTCTCTAAATGTATATTTGTTTTCACACCATCTTAGGTATAATTAGGTAACTGCTAAAAGGGAAAGTGAATGCAGAATTAAAACTATTACTGGAGATTTGTCCTCTGCCTAGAGCCATCTGGATCTCTATATTCTGTTTTGACTAAGCTGGTCTTGCTCAGAGAAGGTTGATTACAGGAGTCTTGGATGGGGTGGGAAGAGAGATAAATGAAGTATGCAAAGTAGAAAAGGACCAAAGAGATAAGTTTATGTGTTACTACATTCCAAAATCATATATATCAATGACAGCATATCAAACTTCCTATGAGAAATAAGTCTGAGAATGTTGATCTGCTGAGAATTATCCCATTTACTAATCATAGAGTATAACCAGCTTAGGGACATAGAAATCCATGTTGTTATTTTGAACATTGAAGTCAGTACATCTACCTCCTCAATTTGGTACGCATATATACTAGGGGTGCCAAAACAATGTATATAAGTGGACACTTTGGTCAACGTTGCTCAAGCAGTAGTTTGCCGTAATCAGAAGTGTCTGGATGCTGATGGTAACCACTTTAAGCACCTCTTGTAATTGTAGAAATCACACGTGACTTGTATTCATCTTTTGTTCTTGGTATATATTGAGTATTACAATTTTAATACAGTTGTCCTTTCCTAAAATGTGTACACATACATTTTTGGGGGGCACCCTCTGTATATATATACCATTACCATTAATCTGCTCTGTCTCCTCATTCTGTAATCTCTTAAAAAAACAAACTTGAATGTTCTTGAGTGTGTATGTTTAATAGTTTTCCTTTCATATTTAAAAAGATAAAATAAAATCTGATAAAAAGTTAACATAGTATTAATAAATAACCTTATATACCTGTAATTGAAGACCTCTAAGAAGAGCAGAAAAATTTTTTTTGAAATATTAATGGCTGACAAATTTCCAAACTTAATGAACACTCTAAAGCCAGATTCAAGGAGTTCTGAGGTGGAGACAAATGATGTCCCTAAACTCACTTCCTCCCAAAGACACACTGAATCTACAGCAACGCACAAAGCAATCCCCCTCTGAAAGAAATCCAGAAACTAGCTGAGTGACACATACACATCAGGCAGACGATAAAACACATCAAATGGGTAGGAAAGGCTGAGACACACTCTCACCAGAAACACCCCCAACCCTTACACAGTGACATACTATCTAGGAGGGAACTCAAAAATCCCAGCTTCTCTCTCAAGAGGGAAAGGTTTACACCCAACACCTAAACACCCCAATATTTAAGACTTCCACCTGAGGGGAAAGGCCCCCAAAATACCTCTGAAAACCAGCAGGCTTGCCATCCATGATACCCACAAGAATACAGCAAACAAAAAAGCAGTTATTAACTAGCAGGGGCACTTGCTGCCGCTATTTCTGCAGGGGTCAGTGCTGAGTAGGCATAAAATGTCCACCTCCCAGTTTTCCCTGAAAGGGGTCTATTTGCACACTTTAAAAGATGTTGCCTGAGGGTCAGAATTCTAATTTAAAACACATCTAGGGGCTAATTGCCATCCTCCCCAGAGGCCGGGGAAGCCGGCAGACACCTCCCTGCCTTCTCTCTTGAGGCCACCCCAAGTCACCAGTATCTCCCTAGAAAGAGCAAATACACATGTCTGTAGAAAAACCTAAACATCCAGAAAAAGACTACTGCTACACATAAAAACAATTTCAGCAAAGTTGTAGGATACAAAATCAACACACGAAAGTTAACTGTGTTTCTCTGCACTATCAATGACCAGCCCAAAAAGAAATTAAGAAAGCAACCCCATTTGCTATAGCATCAAAAACAATAAAATAGGGCCGGCCGAGTGGGGCGATGGTTAAGGACTGGCATGGGACGCCAGAGGGCCCCGGTTTGGATCCCACATATGAGGGACAGTGACACTGCCCTCTACAGCTAAGATGCTGAACAACAGCTCAACCTGGAGCTGGGCTGCCGTGAGTCGCCGGCGACGGCGTAGGCTGCAGCCCCTGCGGCAGTGGGTTGCCATGGGCTACCGTGTGTAGCCAGGAGCCAGAGTGAGCGGCCAGCAGCCGCAGTGAGCGGCTGTCCAGAAGCCGGTGACTGATCTGCCTCACCCAGGAAGAGCGCAATGATGGTGCCAACTTGCGCCAGTGAAGCAACGTCCTCCACAACTAAACTGAAGAACAAAAGGACAGCAACTTGTCTGTTCCCCTTCCCCCAATTCCCCAGCACTGTTCCCTTTCCCCCAATTCCCCAATAAAAATCTTTAAAAAAACAAAACAAAACAAAACAAAACAAAAAAACAATAAAATACTTAGGAATAAACTTAATCTAGGAGGTGAAACACGCATACATTAAAAACTACAAAACACTGCTAAAAATATAAAGAAGATACAAATAAATGGAAAGACACCCCATGCTTGTGGATTGTAAGACTCAATATTGTTAAAATGTCCATATGACCCCAAATGATATACAGAGTCAATGCAATTCCTATCAAAATTCCACTGGTATTGCTTTCAGAAGTAGAAAAATATCCTAAAATTCATATGGAATCTGAAGAAATCCTGACTAGCTAAAGTATTCTTTAAAAAGAACAAAGCTGGAGGCCTCACACTTCTTGATTCAAAACATATTTAAAGGCAACAGTAATTAAGATGATGTGGTACTGGCATAATAGATATATTAATCAGTGAAACAGAATAGTCCATAAATAAATCCTTGCATATATGGCCAAATGATTTTTGACAAGGGTACCAAAACTACACAATGAAAAAAGGACAGTTTTTTCAATAAATGGTGTTTGGAAAACTGGTTACCCACATGCAAGAGAATAAAGTTGGACCTTTTCTGTATTCCACATACAAAAACTTCTGCACATCCAAGGAAACAATCAACAGAATGAAAAGGCAGCCTATGGAATGGAAGAAAATAATTGCATGTCATATATCTGATAAGGGCCAATAAGCACATAAAAAGATGCCCAACATCACTAATCATTAGGGAAATGCAAATCAAAACCACTATGAGATATATTTCCTCATACCCATCAGCACGGCCACCATCAAACGAATAGAAAATAAATAATGCTGGAAAAAATGTGGATAAGTTGAAACCTTTGTTCACTGTTGTTAGGAATGCAAAATGGTGCAACCACTGTGGAAAACAGTATGGAGGCTCCTAAAAAATAAAAACAGAAATACTACATGATCTAACAATCTCACTTCTGGGTATATATCCAATAGAATTCAAAGCAGGGTCTTGAAGAGATATTTGCACACCCATGTTCATCACAGCACTATTCACAATAGCCAACTGGTGGAATCATTCCAAATGTCTATCAATGGATGAATGGGTGAAGAAAATGTGGTATATACAAGTACATACACTGGCATAGTATGCAGCCTTCAAAAAGAAGGGAAATCTGTCACAAGGGACAAAATGAATGAATCTCAAAGACATTATGTTTAATAATAAGCCAGTCACAAAAGGATATATGTATGATTCCATTTATATGAAGCATCTAAAGTAATTAAACTCATAAACAGAAAGTAGGAAGGTGTTTAGCAAAGGCTAGAAAGTGTGGAGAGAAGTAATTAGTGTTTAGTGGATAGAGTTGCAGTAATGCAAGATGAAAAAGTTCTAGAGCTCTGTTGCATAACAATGTGAACACACTTAACACTACTTAACTATAGACTTAAAAATGGTTAACATAGTGAACTGTTAACTTTATGTTTTTCACCACAATTTTAAAAACTAAGGCTACTTTTTAGACTTGCAGAATGTGAAATGATTCATTACCAGAAGATTTGCTTTCTAAGAAATGTCAAAGAGAATACTTTGGTAAAATGAAAATGATACCAGATAGAATATGGATCTATAAAAAGAATGAAGAGCACTAGAGATGACAAATATGTGGATAAATATAAATTTTCTTATTTAAAAAATTCTTTCAAGGACAAATTACTATTGAAATAAAAACAATAACTATGTACTGTGTGCTTTATGACATATGTAGAAGTAAATGTGTGGCAACATCAAGGCCGAAAAGGAAGTGTGAAAGTAGACAGGTGTAAAATTCTTACGCTATATGTAAAGTGCTATAATATTACTTGAAGATAAACTGTGATAAATTAACAATGTTATTGTGGGTTGACCCATACCCCTCCATAATATATTTTCAAGTTCCAACTGCCAGCACCTATGAATGTGTCCTATTTGGAAACAAGGTCTTTGTAAATGTAATCAAGTTAAGATAAGGTATACTGAATTAGGGTGGGCCCTTACTAATGATCAGTGTCCTTATAAGACAAGATAAATTTGGGTACACAGAGGGAAAACAGCCATTTGAAGCCACAATGAAATGGGGAAACGCCATGTGACACATAAGCAGAAATTGGAGCAATGCACCTACAAGACGAGACACGTCAAGGATTGCCAGCACCCACCAGAAGCTAGGAGACAAGTATGAAATACATTGTCCTTCAGCACTTCCAGTAAAAACCAACCCTACCAATACATTGATTTCACACTTCTAGCCTCCAAAACAGTCAGTGAATAATTTGTTGTTTTAAGCCACCCAGTTTGTAGTACTTTCTTACAGTAGCCTGAGGAAATTCATACAGATGTATACTGTACATGTATATGTACAATCAATACAATTTCTTGAAAGAATTCTAGCTAATAGGCCAACAGAGGAATAAAATGGAATAAAAAAAATTCACTTAGTCAAAAAAAAAGAAGAAGCAGAAGAAAGGAAAAGAAGAATGTAGAACAGATGGAACAAATAGCAAGATGATAGATAGATTTAAACCTTAGACTATAAAAATCATATGAAGTATAACTGGTCTAAACACTTCCTTCATTAAAAGTCAGAAATTTTCAATTTACATAAAAAACAAAAATCAATTATATACTATCTATAAGAGCCTACATGATATATAAAGACACAAATAGGTTAAAAGTAAAAAAATGAAAAAATCTATCTCATGTTAAAACTAATCAAAAAGAAGTTATTGGAGTGTCTCTATTAATATTAAACAAAGAACACTGCAACAAAGATATTACCAAGGATTAAGGAAGTTATTTCATAGTGATATAGGGATCAATTTATCCTAAATGTTTATTCATATAATAATAGAGGTTTAAAATACATGAAACACGAGCCAATAGAACTGAAAGGAGAAATAGGAAAATTACCATAATAGTTGGAGATTTCACAAACCTTCTCTCAATAATTGATAGGACAAGTTGGTAGAAATTCAGATAGGATAAAGAAGTTTGAAACAGCAATGAATTTGTGCTAACTGATGTTTTAGAACACTTGGCACAACAGCAGCATATACATTCTTTTTTATCACACATGGAACATTTACCAAGATGGACCAGAATCAATAATATAAATATTAATACATTTACAAGGATTCAAATCATACAAAGCATATTCTCTAACCACAATAAAATTGAAATAGAAATCAGCAACAATAGGATATATGAAAAATGGGAACAATTAGGAAACTAACATGCTTGTAAATAACCCATAGATCAAAGTAAAAAGCAAGAGAAATTAGAAAGTATTTTGAAGTGAATTAAAATAATTAACATTTCAAAATCTGTAGGATACAGTTAAAGCAGTGCTTGGAAGGAAATTATTAGCACTAAACACATATGTTGGGGTGGGGTGGGGAAGACCTCACATCAATGACCTCTGTTTCCTGACTTAAGAAATTAGAAAAAGAGGAGCAACTTAAATTCCAGGTAAGAATAAGAAAGGAAATAATATAGATCAGAGCAGAAAACAATCAAATTGAAAACAGGAAAAAAAAATCAATGAAATTTTTAAAAACTGGTTATTTGAGATTAAAAAATGATCAAGCATTAACCTGACTGCTCAGACATAAAAAGACACAAATGACCGATATCAAGAGAGATGGGATCTCACCACAGACCCTACAAATTTTAAAGGATAATAAGACAATGTTATGAACAATGTAAGCCAATAAATTTTCAAACTTTGAGGAAATGGACATTTCATCTTGTCTCATGAAGGACTGATTTTTTAAAATAAAATCCCAATGTGCCAAATTGCTTCTTTACTCCAGAATGGCAGGCTATAGATACTGAACAGCATGAACATTTATTAGTTTAAAAATTAGCTTCAAACCATTAAATATGAAATTGGAATAGAAGAATATAAAACAGAGTGTTAGGAAACAAAGTATTCTCTCTCATACACATTATAGTTAGCATTTTAATAAGCTGGTTTTCCCAAACTTTCTCTGCATTTACCTCAGAAACTTTCCAGTTGGGAGTGTGCTGATTTTCCACCTCAGAATCTGAGGACCTGTTTTTATATTCTGGTTCATTGACTAGAGATGATTTGACATTGATACAGGAGAGCCCCTCACTATAGGGATTTTAAATTTCCTGTTCCCTAGTTTCTTAGCTCCCTAGTCCCTGGTTTTAATCACTTTTTAAATCAGTTTCTTAATCTTATACTGAAGATTGCGCCTAGCCTGAGTCATAGAATGTCTCTTACCCCTGCTTCAGATAATTACTCAATAGTTTGTTGATTGTAATCATTGTGGCTCAGTCTTCTTTCCAGGCCATTCTGAGACCAACCTGGGTGAACAACACCACCTGAATGAGTATTTAAATCAGGGGGAAAAGCCACAGGTTCTATGAAGCTGAACAGACTTTCCATCAGGTAGTCAGTCCTGCTTCTTGGGCCAACAGTTTTATATACATATATATATATATATATATATATATATTTTTTTTTTAAGCTGAGCCATCCTGCTACCTGTTGGCAGCTCAGCGGCTTCTCAGCTCGGGCTGGACTCGAACCGCTGTTGCTCAGAGCTCAAACTCTTGAGCGAGCTCTTAACCAACTGAGCCACTCGGCCGGCCCTTTTGGGCCAACATTTTTAAATCTATTAACTAAAATCTCTCTCTCTTCATCCAGGGGCCATCAGGATACAAATGATGCCCAGTAAGGCTTCTAGTACACCCCAACCTAAGAGGCCAACATGGTCTTCCAGGTGGATCTCAAGACCCCTCCCTCTCATCTAAGATCAGATAGGGTGAGAGTCCAGAGAATCCCCATAGGTTAAGGACAATGATCACATTCAGCAGGAAGCAGATACAGAAGAAGAGACCTCCTATCCCTCAACTTCCCATAGAGATTTATGGGCATCACGCCTGCCAGGCGGAGGTAAGGCAGGCAGTTAGAAACAGGAACTGGGTTTCCCATACGTACAAACACGTCAGGTAACATTCCCACACATCCAACATGGTCTACGGATAGTGACCACCCAGGAGACCTCCCCTTCATGCCCAAATCTTTCCCTTATTTACTATAACCATCAACCACTATGAGGAAGCTAAAGGATACAAAATACCTAACTAAATCGGTCCTGTCACTCACACTTGTGCAGTAAAGGCCACAATGACTTTCAATTCACCTGGGCCTCATTATACCATCATTATAATATCATACATATGCTCGGAAGTTCATTAATATCATTATAACAGACCATATTCTGGGAAGGAACATGCGTAGTCTGAAAAAATGAGTTAATAGTCCCCTGTCAATCATAAATGCCAATCCAGAGACCCCCACACCCAGGGAGGGGTAGCCTATTTTAGAGAAAAAGGGATAAAAACTACCAAGACCCCGTTAGTCGGGGCCCTAGAGGCACTCCTCTGCTTGGGCCTGCTCCTAGTTCTATGGAGCGTACTTCTATTCCTAAATTCCTTCACCACCGCATCTCTGTGCCTCATTCAATTCTTTGCGGGAGACACCAACCTGAACACCGCTCGGAGAAGGGCCTGCGCTCCAGTAACAACACCAGATAAATCCTTCTCAGCCAATGAGTTGAGGGGCTGTTATCCTGTTCACCTGGCCTAATGAACTTCCCCGCTTTATCCTGAATACCACTTTCTCCTTTGACAAAGCTCAATTATTTTCAAAACATTGGTAAAGACTTTAATTGGATCCTCACAACTTCACAAAATAATCAGTGAGGTTGTCATTTCAACTCCTGTTTTATAAAAGAGGGAAGAGGCTGCTAGGATGAGAACTGAGACAGAGGCTTGGTCCAAGACTTTCATTCTGTTATCCTGACCGATGGAGCCACGAGGCTCCCTGCTTTCTAAACAGCGTTTCTTTCACCACATTCACCCAACCCTGTTTTTTCACAAGAAGTACTCTGCAGGGCACCAGAGAATCCTCAGAAAAACAAGCTCCTTTTCTTGAGGTGCTCACATTATGGGGGGACAATCAACTATTACAATAGCTCGCAACAGGCACAGGGAGCTAAAGACACAAGGGAGAATAGAAAGTCGATGGAGCAAAGAAATCGCAGCTCCTTTTTGACTTCTTTTTAACTTGAGTACCCACCGTAGGGCCAAGCAGGTTTCATATAACTGATGTCAACATCATGAGGTAGGCTCGTCGGCCAGGAAGTAACGTGCCCAAAGGTTTTCAGTGAAATGGACAGCTTTAGGGTTACCCAACTTTCATCTCAAAGTAAACTACAGGGCTCCACCCTGGCAGGCGGGGGTAGGTTAAAGGAGCGCCCTCTCCGCGTTAGCTGTCTCCAGGCTCATCAGCCCAGCAACTCCCTCCGCGGGAACCCCCTCTCCAGGCAGTCGCTGATGCGTTCAACCTGCGTCCTGGGAGCCCAATCAGCGGCCGCGACTCCACGCCCGCTCGGCCAGTCACGTGTGCGCCAAAGATGGCTGCGCCCTGGCGAGTTGTGCAAAGGTTGCAGTGAGCCTTAGCGGCTAAGGAAGACGAGAGGAAGCACCGAGTGCCGGGAGGACAGCCTAAGGTACTGACATTCCAGCAAAGGAAGCGCAGTAAGTGCGCGGGTATCAGAAGCACAACGCGGTGACAGGCTGTTCACCGACAGCTCGGGAATGAGATCCCGGGACTGAATCAGAAAGGAAAGAAGGAATCGGCCCTATGGCGCCGACGGTCTCTTCATTTTTCCATCCTAGAAGAAAAGACCTTATATTTAAAGTAAGCCAATAGAAAAAAGAAAAAAAAATGCCTGCACTTAAATTTAATACCGGGTTTACTGCCAATTTACAGGGTATCCTGGGCCTAACAATTTTCGGAGGCCCTATCGGAGCTATCCTTAGTGACGTGAGATACCTAATACAAATGCTATTTGAACTATTTGTAGTAAAGGTGGCATTATCTTTGATAGAGATTTATTATTAATAACGGGAACATAGTGACCTACTGCGGGCTGCCGGATCAGAACTTTACCGAATTAAGGATGATTTTTAATAGTCACACTGTAGACATGGCTAGTTCACAGAACTCCGAACCTTACCAGTATGCAGAGCTTGGAACAGAAAACTAATAATAGCATTAGGCGGGCCTTTCTGAGGAAATAGTTTATTTCAGACATATACACCGTACACTTTCTCTGTATATACCGAATTTACTTGTGTTTCTCTCCACCCCGCACCCCCCCAACACATAATCATCCAAAGCGCCTGTAGGGCGGAGATTGTGTCTATCATATTTTTGTAACCAAGGCCCTCAAAAAGTTTGAGTCCAGTATGCCTAGACATAAATTCCTAAGCCTACATTGTACGTACTAGGTTAATGTTAAGGCTAGGGATATGAAATTTCAGTGCCCTCAGCAATTTCCAAGTGACCTCTTATAGCTAACCAGATACCCAATAAATATTTGTTAAATTATTCAGTGTTGTAAATTAATCTTGTAGCAAATGGATGATAGTGAAACAAGAAAATCTAATTTCATAAAACCATGTTGTCCTTTGCTGTTATCTCTGAACTTTTGCTTTTCTTAACTCTGCTACCCTGAAATCTTGTTAAATGAGACAAATCATTAAAAACTCATCATTTGCCACTGCCCTGACTCTGACATTCATCCCAACTAGAGCAGGGATCAACAAACTACTGGTCTGTGGGCCATACAAAGCCTTTAGCTTTTTTCTATATGGCCAGCCATCTAAGAATGATTTTCATATTTTTAAAAAGTTGCTTAAACAAAAAAGTATGCAATAAAGACCATAAGTGACCGCAAAGCCTTAAATATTATCTGGCCCTTTAGAGGAAGTTTGCTGATCTCTGCTGTAGGGTCTACCTAACAGTGAAATTACATGTCATGTGTCTTATACCTACTAAATAATATCGAATTCCTTTCTAAAGTGGTTGTCCCAAATTGGGTATAATTTATGCTTCCACCAGGAGCACATGAGTTTGTTGCCCCACATTCTTGCCAGTTAATTGAAATTCTTAGGTTTTTATTTTAGCTAACCTAGGTACATATTGGTACCTCACTGGTTTTAATTTTTATTTCATTACAAAGAGGTTAAGAATATTTTCATGTTTATTGGGTATTTGGCTTTCCTTTTTGTGAAGTGCCTGTTCAAACCTTTTGTCACTTTTTGTTAGGTTACCTTTTTGTTGTTGATTTTTACTTCTTTACATATATTCTGGGTACTAACTGCTCATCAGTTATATTGCAAACATTTCTCCCACACTAGTTTATCTTATGGTATCTACTGATGAAAACAAGTTCTTAATTTTAATTAGTTAATATTTGTTTTGTCTTTTATGTTTAGTGCTGTTTGTAAATTAAGAAAAATTTTAAGGGTTATAAAGATATTCCGTATTTCCTAGAAGCTTTATGTGCTGCTGTTCATGTTCTGACTTCTATTTAAGAATTTATATTTTTGGGGGGTGGGAGGGGTATGGACTGCATGCAGATTATGAATTCAGTCTATAGCTAATTCTTTAAAAATTATCTATGGTCTCCAGAAGGCTTTTATAAGCCCGTTTTTTTTTCTATAGATATAGAGTATTGAAAAATGGTATTTTTAATTTTTTTAAGGCTCAAGATGGAAAATCATGAACCAGATTATACTGTCAAGGAAAACCGAATTTTTGATATCATAACCAGAAAAATTAACCAACTTCCAGAAGCAGAAAGGTAAGATCCCATATTAAAAATGTCTTTTTTCCAGGTAGATTTTCATCGATTCATTATCTCAGCTTTATTTGGTTTCAGCATAATAACAGAATGTCAGAAGGAAACTGAACTTTTCTTGCCTTGATGAGAAAACCAAGGCCCAGAGACATTAACCATTTGCTTAAAGTCAAGGCTAGAATTCATCTTTGGACATATCTAATTTTATGATGGCTCTCAGTTTTTCCATTTGGCTTATAGTCAAATGTAAACATTTATGGCTTCATTTAAATATCAAAACTTTAAAATAGCTTTTAAATTGTCTCTACCAATTCATTTCTATCATTATGCTTATCAGTCTAAGCGAGTACACTATAACACACATAGCTAGATAAGGAATGTCAAGAGAAATAGGACCGCGGCTAAAAGGTCTTTAAATAGGAAAAGGCCATATAGGAAACATACTTGATTTATGAAGACAACACTGAGTGAACTTCAGTGAACTACTTAACAAGAAGGCCTCTCTGGCTAGGTTAAATTTGAAATGAAAATCTGAGATGAAAAAGAGTGAAAATGAAAAGGAGGGCCGGCCCAGTGGCACATTGGTTAAGAGTTGGCTTGGGACACCAGCTCTGAGCAGCAGGGCCCTGGTTCGGATCCACATGAGGGCCAGTGACACTGCCCTCTACAGCTAAGATGGTGAACAACAGCTCGACCTGGAGCTGGGCTGCGGTGAGTTGCCGGCGACAGTGTAGGCTGCAGCCCCCACTGCAGTGAGCTGCCATAAGCTACTGTGTGTTGCCAGCAGCCAGCGTGAGCGGCCAGCAGCCGGTGTGAGCTGCCAAGAGCCGCCGTGTGCGGCCGTCCAGAGGCCGGCGACCGATCTGCCTCACCCGGAAAGAGCGCAATAAATACCAACATGGGCCAGTGAAGCAACGTCCTCCACAACTAGACTGAAGAACAAAACAACAGCAACTTGTCTATTCCCCTCCCCCAATTCCCCAATAAAACCTTTAAAAAAAAAAAAAAAAGAGTGAAAAGGAGCCAGTCTGGGGAGGATGGAGGAATAGTATCTCAGGGAGAGGGAATGGCATATGCCTAGGCCACAGGATAGCAATTTGTCATATTTGAGGAACCAGTGTTACCGAAATACAAGGAAAGTGGGCATAAGGTTGAAGAAACAGTTTTAAGCAGAGAATGGTGTGATCCAACTAACATTTCTAAAGAACATTCCAGTCACTTTTTGGAAAATAGATTTAAGGTAGGCGAGAAAAGGAAGACCAGTAGGAAAATGCATAGCAATCCTGTTGAGGGGTCATGATAGGGTGGTGGCAATTGAGATGAATATAGGGTGGGCTTGAAATACAAAGTAATTTTATGTACCATGTATTTCATTGCAACTTGTTAAATTTGGTCTTCTATTTCAGGTGTTTAATTCATGTGTCTAGTTATTTTGTGATTGTTTTGCCAAAATATGATGAGTTCCTAGTTCTATAGGCACTTTTTTGGAAAATTGACTGACAAAGGAGCTGCTAGATAAATTTGTACTTAACTAAATTGGTAACTAAAAGAATGTGACTTTAAGCCTAATAAAATCTGATTGGGAGACAGCAAACTTTGCCATTCAGATTCCAATTGCATTCCTTATTTATGTACTTATTTTTATTATACTTAACAGTACTATATCAATATATAATTATGTTTATAATCAATATATAAAACATATGGGCAAATTACCTGAGTATCGGTTCCTATGACTAAAATGGAGATATGTATTTCACAGGATTGTTATGATGCTAAAATATTTTAAAAGAAGTGATCGTTTCCCATTCCCTTAGCTCCCACAAAAATAGACAAGTCTTTCACATTTGTTTTCTGTTGTTTGGTAGGTTCTTTAGGCTCTCAGCACTCTTTAAATGTTATCTTATGTACCCTAAGTTTAAAAACTGCCTCTTCTACTGCTATCACTTTTAGTAAACTTCTGTTGTATCTTTTACATGTCTTCCACCATCTGTTAATCAATGATGAAAACAGTGATGGTAGAAGGTAATTTTTTGTGCCTTAAGCACCAAGTCTACATGTAGTAACATGATTGAATGACAAGAAACACTATGATTGCAAAGTGACAGGTAAGAAAAGTAATACCTTGTACAATGTAGGAAACTCAATGAGGGATTTCTAGAAAAGCTGTTTTCCGATGAGTGTAAACCTCAGAAATCAGAGGGGTTACTGTATGGCCATTTTGGCTAATTAAGAGTATTGAGAAATTGAAGAGGTTGACACCTGTGTTGTAGATGACAAGGTAGGTAGTAAAGAAATTAAGCAAGTAGACCAGAGTTTGGAGTATTTTCAATATCCAGCAATTATTTTAGGCATTATTTTTCCCCAAACTAAAGAATATACAGAACATGCATTTTAAACTCATACATACCTTGGCTTCCAGTTCTACCACTTCTCATCTTAAAATATCAACTTACTCTTCATTTCAATGAGTCAAGTACCCGGCATAGAGTATCCCTTAAACATTAGTACTCTTCCAACCTCCTAATCCTCACTGTAATGCTTTAAGGAACAGTGGAAGGAAACATAAACTCCACCTTACTGAGTTGCCTTCTATGCCAGGTGCTATTAGAACCAAAAGTATTTCTTCGTATCCATTGTCAAGTAGTCCGGACTAGTGGGGAATGCCTTATAATGTGTTGTGCTACAGGTAAGAATTAGAAATTGTGGGAACCCAGAGGAGAGGTATCCAAATCACTCTTTAGAAATCTGCCCTGCTGTATAGCTGGGAGATTTCTGTACTAGTATCCTTTGCAAAAATCACAAAAGTACATTTAACAAATCTAAATGTATCACGGTATCTTTAAGTGTTGCCAAATTCAAAAGCCTTTTAGAATAAAAATCTACATGTAAAACAATGATTTTAAAAGGTTTGTGTTTTATGGAGCTATAAGGGGTAAATGTTGTATCCTGTTATTTCTAAAGTCATGATGAGTTCTGTATAATATGCCAGAATTGTTGGAGACGTTCAACAGAGCCAAAGAAAATGTTACCATTGTTTCTCATTCAGGGGTCTACTTGAACATGGATCGACATATATTGGATTTAATGCTGCTATCTGTGGCCTAATAGCAAACAGTCTTTTTCGGCGCGTCTTAAATGTGACACAGGCTCGTATAGCTGCAGGCTTACCAATGGCAGTAATCCCATTTTTGGCAGCAAACGTATCTTACAAAGGTTTTGTAAGTTTACCATTGAATACAGGTAAATTCTATTTCATTCTTGCCAGAGAATTTGCTTTGGTATCTATTATTTGCACCTGACATTAATCCTTAGCTATTAATCAAGTAGTTATATGGTAATAACATAGTTAGGGCTTGGACTGATTAAATTTTTTAGCCTGCGTAAATGGCAATTAATTTATATTAGCATGGTCCACCAAACAAGTAAAATGCAGACATAGCAGTTGTAAATACTTTCCTTTATCTAACTTAATCTGTCCCAGTGCTTAGAGTGAAATATATGGAAACTTAAGTGTGGTTTTTTTTTAATGCTGGCTTATTTTTTTAATTATAGAGAACTCTTTAAAGGGAGAAAATATTTTTATGGTAATAAGACTATGTAGTAAATTGCTCAAAGCACTAAATGTATATGTAAGAATTAAGAAATATATGGATACTTGATTTCGACAGTTTATGCTGTATATGCTGAGTGCTCTGAGTCTAGCTAATGACAAATTTTCTGATTAGTAATTTGAAATAAAAGTATTATTACTACAGGTGGTGGTGAGGAGGGAGGCTGTCCATTTTTCTCCTTTGTTAAGTGCTGCTCCAAATTTGTTTAATTTGGATGAGTATTTTGTTTGACTCTCCATGATCAGTGTGGAAAGAATTTTTATGATCCTGGGAAACCTATTATTGCCCAATAAACTGAACAGACTGAGTGAAAAGTTACTAACTTAGCTTCCTATTTCTAATATTCCTTATTCTAATTTGTAAATGAATAAAGTATTTTATAAAAAGTGACATTATATAATGTAAACATGTAAGATGAAGTATAAATTGTGAAAAAAAATTCCCATGGGTTAAAAAAAAGCTCCTTAAAGACAGAAAAAATAATACCTCAGGTTTGTTAATACAAGTGCAGATAGCTTGAAGCAGTGCAAACCAAGATTATGTTCAAGTTCAGAAGAAATTAGAAAATTTTTCCTAATATGGTAATTGGTTTATTCTTTTAGATTATCCATACATTAATTATACCTTTTAACATGCCTTGTAGAATTGCATTTGCTATATTACTGCCTGAATATTGAGTCTCTGTGATACATATAAGGGGACCTTGCATTCTTTAAATCGTTTGCTCGACTTATCATGACTTTCATTTCCAGAACTAATTTATTTCCTAGGTGATTTGAACTGTGAAACCTGTACTGTAATACGGGGTGGATTAGTTGGTCTTGCTTTTGGTGGTCTGTACCCTGTTTTCTTGGCTATACCTGTGAATGGTGGTCTAGCAGCCAGGTA